CTAGGAGCAGAAATGTCTTCAAACAGTGCAGCTCGTTTACATGGCTAAACAGAGAACAAGTGACTGCACAGTCTGTGTAATCCTCCCAGCAGATCTCGTTCATCCTCAGGAACCAGGAAATGTCTCTTTCTGACTGTTGGGAATCTTCTGATGACTGCACTGTCTGCATAATCCTCCCAGCAGATCTTGTCCTCAGGAACCAGGAAATGTCTCTTTCTGACTGTTGGGAATCTTCTGCTTGGTGGGAAGTGACTGAAGAATAGCAGGACAGAGGGTCCCACCTGTCACGAGGTATTTTTCAACCTCACACTGCACAAGAGAATTTTACTTTCCTCTGGGTCTCCTTTGGATGCCCAGCACAGCTTGGCCATCACAGCAGAGGATCTGCAGGCCAGCCAGGCCTGGCAGGAGGATCTCAGCGAGGGTGGGAATCTGTGGCACTGTCTGGGGGCAGTTCTTGTCCAGCAGAGCAGAACAGGCCACGTGGGTGAGCCTCAACTTTCCAGACTTGTCAAACCTGATAGCGAAAGAGGGATCATCTCAGTAACCCTTAGAGGTCTAGAGGGGAGAGAAACGGGCACATCTACGACACAGCTCCTTAGAGCTGCTTCCAGTATCTCCTTGGGCTGGGATGGATGGATGCAGATGGATGGAGGATGGATGGATGCATGGATGGATGGATGGATGCATGGATGGATGGATGATGGATGGATGGATGGATGGATGGATGGATGGATGGATGTCGAGGCCATCAGTAGGAACTCACACTTTGCCCTCAGGAAGCCTCCTCCTGCCCCCCTCAGTGCCTCAGACCAGCCAAAAATGGTTATTGTGCTTTACACACACTTAAATAATAAAGACCTATTTAATAGACTGCTCAGGAGGATAACAATAAAACATCACTTGCCTGAGAGTGGCTTAATTGTTTTTCTACTCATAAAAATGGACTTCTTTGGGGAACAAAGTTCTTGGACAGCCTCTCCTCACTACTTCAGTAGGAAACCTGATACTAAAATCAGCTGAGATCATCCAAGGCAATCCAACTGCTGCTGGATATGGGCCACTAGATGATTCTCTTGGCCCACTGCCCTTCTCCTGGGAAAGATAGGGAGCAGATGTTGGATCAGCACATAATAATTGAACACCTGGGAGTCTTCTTCCCTGCTTAGCAAGCTAAGGCAGCATCTCACTGCGGGGCTTTTGAGGCAGGACTGCCATAAATTCTGGACATTTTGAGAGAACACAGATAGGGTTTTGTTTTTGTCTTCTTGTGGGTTTTTTTGAGCAGAGGAAGAGATTGTTTAAGTCTGAAGAATGAACACAGATGACTTTTTGTGGGAAGAACAAACATTTTGCTGTGAAGTTTTTCCTGTCTTGTATCATGTAATGCCCCCATCATTATGGAGTGCATGCTCAGGAATTTGGCCAGTGACAGTGAGCTGGTGGTGTGGTGGACATGTAGGAGGGAAGGGATGGCCCCATAGGGGCCTGGACAGGCTGGAGAGGTGGGACTGTGCAAACCTTGTGGAGGGCAACAAGACCAAGTGCAGGGTGCTGCACTGGGGTTGGGGCACTCCCAAGCATGAAAACAAAAGGTTGGGCAGGGAATGGATTGAAAGCAGCCCTGAGAAGACCTGAAAAGTGTTGAGAGGCTGGACAGGACCGAGCACTGAGCACTCCCAGAACAGAAAGTCAGTCGTGCCCTGGCTGCATCAAAAGAAGGGTGGGCAGCAAGTCGAGGGAGGTGATTCTGTCCCTCCACGCTGCTCTGGAGAATCCCCACCTGGAGTGCTGGTTCCAGTCTGGGATCTCCAACATATGGAGGACGTGGACCTGTTGGAGAGAGTCCAGGGGAGCACACAAATTTGATCTAAGGGCTGGAGCCCCTCTGCTCTGGAAACAGGCTGGGAGAGCTGGAGGTGTTCATCTGGAGAAGAGATGGATCCAGGGAGAGCTCAGAGCCCCTTCCAGGGCCTAAAGGGGCTCCAGGAGAGCTGGAGAGGGACTTTGAAACAACTGGAGTGACAGGACAAAGGGAATGGCTTCAAACTGAAAGAGGACAGGGTTAGAGGGGATATTGGGAAGAAATTTTTTACTATGGGGGTGATGAGGGCCTGGCACAGGTTTCCCAGAGAAGCTGTGGCTGCCCCTGGATACCTGGAAGTGTCCAAGGCCAGGCTGGATGGGGCTTGGAGCAACCTGGGATAGTGGAAGGTGTCCCTGCCCATGGCAGGAGGGCACAACAGGATGATTTCTATGGTCTCTTCCAGCATAAATAATTCTATTATTCTAATCTTTAATTTATTTTCTTTGGGAGATGTGACAAGAGAAGACAGCAGACCTACAGGAAAATCTACAAAGAAAAGCTTTGTTAGTTCTAGTTGATTCTTTAGCCTGTTCCATGGTGCTGGAACAAAACCAGAGCTGAGTGCATTCACAGCGTGTCTGTACAAGGTTTTCTCCAGAGGAGGCATCTGTGCAGCCATGGGGCTGTGGCTGTGCCAAGGCACTGCAGCAGGGCTGGCTGGGCTGCTGATCTGCCGTGGGGCTGTGCCCCACATGGGCAAAGAGCCACAGGGACAGTACAGCAACTGGGACAGGGCTTTTCATGCTGGACAGGTCATGGATTTAGTTGATTTTATGACAAAATTGCCTTTTTTTTCCTCTCCTTTGTTTAAAGTAAGTAGAGTGTTGATTTTCTTAACTTTTACAGAGATGGAGTAACTGAGAGGTGTTTTAAAGATTTTATTCTATTTTCACTCTCAATGAATAGTGAGACACAAGAGATGTAAAACTCAATGCCATTCTATCATTAGTTGACTTATTTCTTGGTTACAATACCTTATAAATGTTTTTCAGCCTCTTAGCTTTTGCTACACGATGCTGCTATTACTTCTAAACACCTATTATTTATATTTTTCCCCATGCAGCCCTTCTACAATGCATCTTTCACAGCTCTAATTCTCTAAAATATCTGGTCTTTTTACAAAGTCATATTTTGAAACTTGTTGAAACTTATTTCTAGTTCAATCTCTCTCTCAAAAATGTCATCTCTATTCCATAGTCTTCCTAAGTCAACACCTTATCTCAGCGTTTACATACAGATGTACAACACTGTGTGAACTTTCTGTCAAGTTTTAAAAACTCTTTACAAATCCATTTCTCACAAGGGTGAAGGCAAGGAGGATTTGAAATTAATTTACATGCTATGGGAAATAGAGGATGGGAGATGCAGAAAGTGAAGGGGAAGGGGTAAAAACCTGGAGAAAAGGAGGCTCAGGAGAAACCTTATCAGTCTCAAAAACTCGCTGAAAGAAGGTTGTAGCCAGGTGGAGATTGATCCCTTCTCCTTGGCAACCAGCCCCTGGACAGGAGGAAAAGGCCTCAAGCTGTGCCAGGGCAGGTTCAGGTTAGACATCAGAAAGAATTTTTTCACTGAAAGGATGGTCAAGCACTGGAATGGGCTGCCCAGAGGAGGGAAGGACTCTCCTTCCCTGGAGGTGTCCAAGGAATGACTGATGTGGCACTCAGTGATGTTTGGTTGACAAGGGAGTGTTTGGTCAGAGGTTGGCATCAATGATCTTGAGGTCTTTTCAACTCCAGTGATTCTGTGATCCTATGGAAAGACAAGCAGAGGAAAGGGCTTCCACACTGGAAAAGCCTAGGAATACAGGTGTCATGGAATTTCAGGGTAATTAGAAGAACCTCATTAGCAGGCAGCTGCTCTTCCAGCACATCTCACAGGATTTGGGTAAGGATGTGGGCATTCAGTGCCTCAGATTCTCGACATGGATCTGTGGGGCCTGAGGGCAGAAAATCAGCATGGGGCCAAGTGTCTCCATGGGATATCCTAGCAGAGGACTCCTCTGGGCCTGCTGTGGCTGCTCAGGCTCCTTTAGTGGTCATTTTCCAGGTCTAGAGAGCCTCCTCTCCAGCACTATGCAGCACAGAGCAGTGTTTGGATGCTCTTGTGCAGGGGACAGGAGCCACCCTGCTGTTCTGCAGGTACTGGACACGGAACCACAGAATTCCCAGAATGACCAGGTTGGAAGAGACATCTTCAAGACCATGGAGTCCAATCCAGCCCCAACACCTCAACTCAACCCTGGCACCCAGTGCCACATGCAGGCTTTGTTAAACACACCCAGGGATGGGGACTGCACCACCTCCCCGGGCAGCCATTCCAGAATTTTATCATGCTTTCTGTGAAAAACTTTTCCTAATATCCAACCTGTATTTCTCTTGACTCAGCTTGAGGCTGGACACCCCTTCCCCTCTCTCCATCCCTCCCTACAGCTCCCCTCCAGTAATTTTCCAGCAATAGGTGCCACTCCTGCACGGCTGTTCCAGGGCTCCCGTGGCTCTGTGGCACTGCAGGACAGTGCAGGTGCTGCTGTTCTGTGCTGTCATTTCCCTCTCTAGGTATGTATCTCCTGTGGGAGACGAAAGAATCCTCTCTCCAAGCTCAGAGGGCTCAGCCCAGGCACAGCCCACCAGCCCATCTGCACACACCATCAGCAAAATGGTGCTTCCAGCTGAAATTCCTGCTCTGCTCCCACTCAGTTCCCCTCCCTGACAACTCCAGCTACTTTATCGCTTCTCTTTGCAATCCACTCTGCAGGTCCGGGAGAAATTGGCTCCTTTCATCCTCCCTCGCACAGCCCCCTCTCCCTCCCAGCAGCGATGCCATCCTCCCTCCCACCGCCGTGTGCTGCTGACCCTGTCACAGTAATGAAATAAGAAATAAAAATTTCTGGGACAGCAGAAACGGGGCTAAGGCGACAGGGAGAAGGCAGATTTGGGGTACGTGGGAAAAGGAAAGAAAAAAAGGGAGAAAGGGTGTTCGATTCGGGAAATTTGATTTGAATAAATCCCTCCTCCCGCTCCTCCTCATTGGTTTCTTTTTCTCCTCCATATTAATGAGAGCAGCCAAGGAGAAGCTATTGGTTCCATATCGCTTTCCCTTTGCTCAGGCACTCGAGGGAGGAGGTGTTTGCATTTCTCCGCAGGACCAGCTCGCTTTGCAGAGCATTGTCTGGGTATGAGAGTCACACACAGGCACAGGAGAGCATCTCAGCCCGGCACAGCATCTCAGCCAGCCCGAGCACCCCTCTCATCCCCCGCCCCGCCCCGAGCACCGACACCCCTTTAAAAAAAAAAGAAAACAAAAAATAGAGAGGGGGGAAAAAGTTTTAAAATATCCCACCTCTCTTCTTGCTTTTATTTTGTTGTTTGGGTTTGTTAGGGTTTTTTGGTTTTTTTTTTGGCTTTTTTGTTTCTGATTTAGCGATGGCAAATTCCTTCACGGCCAGGAGCTGGCCTATCCCCTGAGCAAAGGCAGCCTGGACATGACCGGCAGGCGAGGGAGGAGGAATTTGGATTCCCTTCGGAGGCGCCGACCCCTCCCGCGGCCGGGGGCAGCGCGGGCGCTCGGAGCCAGCGCGGGCAGCGGGGCCGGCCCGCTCCCCGCGGCCACGGAGCCCGCCCGCGGGCATGCGGCACCGCCAGCGCCGGGACGGAGCCCTGCTGCAATGGTGAGTCCTTCCCCGGCCTCCCCCGGCTCCTCCCGGGGCTGCCCCGTGCCCCGAGCCCGGGGATGGCACAGCCGCAGCCGGCTGCGAGTGACATTGATCGCTGGTTTAGCGGCTCGTCCCTCCGCGTCCTGGGCACGCTTCTTCGGGGGGGAATTGCATGCGGGCTCCCTGCCTTCGGCAGGCTCGGAGGATGCGTCCTCCAGACGGATTTGGTTCTCTGCAAACAAATCAATCTCCCTTTCGCTGGCGGTGACAGGTCGAGGCGCTCGGTATGGCAATCACGTCTGGTTTTAACACAATATGGCTGGTAAATAAAACCTGATTGCTAACAGCCCCGCCGCTGCTGCCGGCGTTTCCGAGCCCACGGCTCCCGATGCAGCTCTGCATCCTCACCTGCCGCAGAAACTCTGATTCACCCTCCGAGCAGCGCAGCGGGACTTGCTTGTTTTCGCTGTGGGGTAGCAGGGAGAAACTGCGGTTCGTGTGCCTTTGACCTCTGCTCGTGTGCTCTGGGCACTTCTTATCAGTGTTTGAACAGCTGGCTCTAATAATACCATCTGCATGCCCAGCACATCTTCAGTCAGGGGGATGGCACGCAGGACAGGCTCTTTCCCGCTGTGCTCTGAATTTAGGATGTGAAGCGTTCAGGTATGTGTTGGAATCTGAGGAGTTTGCAGCCAGGGAGGGAACGAGAATGTGATAATGCAGCTTGCTGTGCAGAACTGGAAAATGCATGGGGGGGAAAAAAAAGGGAGATTTGATTAGTGGCACGCTGGTGTTTATGGTTACATGATCATCCCACTTACACAGCAGCAGATCTGGAAGAACTCCCTGGAAGTCAGTGGATTTCTTCTGCGTCTGATCTGCAGGTAAACAGAATCTGGCCTTTAGCTTGAAGGATGTATTGGAGTAGCACTGGAGGTAGCTGTAATAAGGAGAAAATCTTAACTAAAGTGAATAAGGCAGCAAAGTGATGTGATTCTTTCTCAGGGAATTATCAATTACCATCCGTCTGGTGCATGTTAATTACAGTGCGAGTGGTGGACTGGTACAGCAATATGTAACTGAAGCAGCATATTGGATTTTTTAATTTCATCTGCTGGAGTCAAAAAAACAACAAATGGGTTTGCACTTGCTGTTATTTGGGTACACAGCCTCCTCACTCCTCTGCCCAGCCTATGCAGCACTGGTCAGGTACAGCAGGGAAATGCTTCCATGGCTAATCCAAGGGAATGTTTGATTACTGGAGGTTTATGATAGCAGGGAGGCAAACTCGTGAAAGTGCTCCTGGTGTAGCTGCAGAGAAAGAACGTGTTATACAAGCATCTCTCTTTGGCTAATGCCAAACACCCTGGAGCTGGCTTGGAAGAAGCTGTCCTGTAGGTTGGGTAAGGCAACATTGGAATTTGGTGAATAATTAAGGAATGCTGGTCAGGGCAATAAGGGGAGTTGGATTAGAGTTGATGTGTTTGCTTGTGTGTGGGTTGTGGTCTTCCTGTTTTATTCCCACCTGTTTCCATGTGCTCTGGGCCAGGGTTGCTGCTTTGCTGTCATTCAGGACAGCTCCAATTGATCTTATTTTGTCCAGGGCATTTATCTCATGATTTCCGCTGTTTTGTTCTCTCCAACCAAAGGCGTGTGAATGGCTGGGAGGATAACCACAGCCTCCAAGGTCACGAGGAGGGGGCTTTTTGTGGGATAAATACACTTATTTCTCTTTAAACAGGCTTTGTGCTCGCTCCTCGGCTTTAGCTTTTCCATCATCCATGGGGGTCCCTGCAGGAAAACCAGAGGGCTCCTTCTTCCTCACTGTGGGTTTAGGAATTCTGCTGCTGGGGCTCTTTCCTCGCTGTGGGTTTAGGAATTCTGCTGCTGGGGCTCTTTCCTCACTGTGGGTTTAGGAATTCTGCTGCTGGGGCTCTTTCCTCACAGTGGGTTTAGGAATTCTGCTGCTGGGGCTCTTTCCTCGCTGTGGGTTTAGGAATTCTGCTGCTGGCACGGTGCTGCCCAGACCTGCTGCTGGTGTTGGTGAGGCTCACAAACAGGGAGGCAGGAGCTCTGTTGTAGGATGCTACCAGGGAGAGAGAAACTGAGATTTCTGAGCTTGTGGGCTGCACTGCTGAGCACATTCAGACCTTTGTTCATCACATCTCTCCTCCTTTGGCTGACTGAGACAGCATCCTGGAGATATTTTTTTCCTGGGGTTGAGTTCCATATGTGCCTGTGCCTTTGCTAAGTTGAGCCCCGTGTCCCTGAGCTGATTCATTCCAATGTAGCAGATTTTGTTTGCCTTTCCTGCCTTCTGAGCACACTTAGTACAAACAGTCTAATTCCTAAATTAGCTCAGATTATCTTTTAATGAAAGCAGAGTATCTGAGTTAAGAAGCACTGAGAAAAAAAGTGAACTCAGGGCAGAATCATGCTGCAGCTCATGCCTGGTGGAGAAACCTGCAGAAATATCAGTTAGACCTGATTTAACAGAGAAATTGCTTATTTGCCACTGCTCCCAGGAGAGAAAAACTGATCTGAGGATGTGGAAGTCAGTGGAGATGCTCAATTTTATTTCACCCCTTTCCTTGGCCCAGAGAGTGCAGCCGCAGTCTTTAAGTCAAGCAGGGGAATTTTTTTGTTGGCTTGTGTCTGCTTGTTTCCATTTCCTCTGCTCCTGTCACATCCAGCCAATCCCATACCATCTGTGCTTCGGCACACACTGCAGTCAACAGGATTTTGGAGTGAATTTTCCACATCAGGACAGAAGTGGAACAGCTCTGCTGAAAGGGATATAAATGCAGCAGTGAGGAAATCTCTCTTTTTTTGCTATCCACAACTTGAAAGTCATCTTTGCTGACAGTGTCTGGTCAGGGTGAGCTGTGGCACCGCTGAAAGAGGCTGCTCAGAGTATCCCTGAGGAGACTTTCCCAGTTCCCTTGGTGCTGAACTTGTTCTGTTCTTAGGGAATGCTTTGCATACAGAAAGGTGTTTGGTAGTTTTCCACAGCACTAACAAGTTCTAGAATTCCTGTGTCTGTTGTGGCTGCTGAAACGCTGTTTGGATTGTAATTGAGTGGGCACAAATATATGGGGAAAAAAGGGGGATTTTTTTTCTTTTTTTCAGAAGCTTCATGGCAGAATGTCCACCCCTCACCCCATTGCTTTGCTGGTGTTTTATCCTCTGACCACCTTTTGCTCTCTCAATTTATTATGGGTCTCCTTAGGCTTTCACTTTTAGCTGCACAAGGCAAAGTAGGAATGAGTATAAAACTCGCTGGGTTGTTCGAGCCTTGTTTATGTAACTCACTGCAGCTCAGTGATTGTGTTCCCCTGCAAGCTCATCTCCAGAGTAGCCAGATTAATAATTTCAGGGCTGAACTTCTTAGGACAAGCGAAACCATTCCATATCCTAAAGAAAAGGTGGGAGCATCACCACACAGAGGATTTAAAGCCAGAGTGGCTGTTGTGCTGAGAAATATTTCCTCAGAAGGGAAAATACACAGAAATACGCAGCTGCAGGGACTCTTGTTTGCTGCTCTGTTAAATACAGATCCTTCAGTTTATCTGCCCTGGAGACACCCTGACTGTCTCATCCCTGCTCATTCAGGTGTCATATCTTACTCCTTGATAGAGAGCTACAATCTGAAACTACATTGATCTGACTGCCATAGTTTTGGGGTTTTTTTTAAAGTTTTTAAAGATGGAAAAACCTCTGCTTAATGTTACTGTTAAAAAAACCCAAACTAAAACTAGCACCAAAATACCCAACAAATAACTCAATAATTCTAGTTTTTGTTAATGTAATTCATAATTCACTCTAAAACTGAGAGAAAAGGGGATGAGTATGTATATGGTCAAATTCTTCTTAATAATAATTATGGCAACAGCAATAATAATAATAATTTATTTTGTAACACATTGGGAGTACTGATGTCTAAGAGCTCCTTACTGAACATACATTAAACATCTGCCAGGTCTGTTTTCAGGTTTGTCCATTCAGTTTGAGGCATTTCACAAGAAATGTGCCTCAGTCACAGTGGCTTTTGCATTAGAGATGCTTGGGTCAGGATTGCTCAGGAGCTGCAAATGGAAGGATAATTATGCCCTGTTATCTATGATTTGTTGCTTTGCTAAATGTATCTGAGGGTTAGGGCAGGAAAAGATGTTTTAATCTGTGTGGCGGGTTAATAGCCTGGATTTTTTATTTTTATTCATTTGTGGCTCAGAATCAGGCAAATTTTGCTACTTTCTCTCACTGCAAGGGACAGTGCATTGTCCAGTCTGACTCTGTGAGGATTCTTAAGGGAAAAAAAAATGTGTTGAATGGAAATGTGACTGAATTAAGCAGATGCATCATTAGGTCCATCTCTCAGGGGTGGAGGATATATAAATTCCCTCATTCTCAAGAAGAAACTTGTCCCCAAAGGATCCCCCGGCAAAACTATTGCTCATTTAATGTGCAAGGAAGGCTTTCTCACTCGGAAGTGTTTGGCTGCCTGGATGATGCTCATCTACTCTCTGAAAGCATCTGAAAACTAAATGTTCACATCCAAGACAATCACCCTAATTCTCTGTGTGAGGGATGAGCAGAGTGGTTCATGCCATCCTGGAGGGGGCAGGTGAATCAGCCCGTGGAGGTTCCTGCAGCAGCTGACTCAGACACACATCCACACTCAGCCTGATGGAGCCTTCCGTGGTATCTCAGAGGCATCCCCAGGAGTGAAATGCCTTTTTTCCCATCTTTCTTTGAAGGGGAAGGCTGGTGATGTTTTGCTAGCTCACAAATTTTGATCGCTGGCAAGTTTTATGGAAAGCCCAAGTTTTACGGAAAGCCCAAGACTGCTGTGGTGGACTCCACATCTTCCTCACCCACATCTTCCCTTTATTCCATGAAGAGCAGACACAGCTGCTGGAGAATTCATGCCACATGTCCCAAACAATATCCTACCTAGTTTTGGTGGTTTTTTAAAAATTATTCATTGATTTTTGAGAATCTGATAGGCTTCCTTG